TGGCAGCAGTTATATACTACATATGGAAAGCTAGGAATGAAGCATTATGGAGGAAAAGAGTACCTCGACCACAAGTGCTGTTAAAACATATTCAACTTGCTTGCAAACACAGATGCATGGAGACAATGAAGAAGAAGGAAAACAACGACAACCTATACTGGATAGAACAGTTATACAGATAGCAAAAATAGGTCTCTTGTATAATGAAAATGTAACTGTATAGAACAAAGTGTAGGCAGGACTCAGGAAAGATAGGGGACTTGAAATTGTAACTGTATTTTTGGGATGATTAAATAAAATTTTTATTTCTACCAAAAAAAAAGTTGGTCTCCAGATGTAAATAACGTTTTATTTTTATTTATTGTTAATCATATCAAGCGACCAACTTTGGTCGCTATATTAATAATTTTTATAATTTTTTATTTAATTTGCAGCCAAAATTGGTCGTCAATGGCAAGAATTTTTTTTTTTAACTATAAGCGACCAACGTTGGTCGCCAAATTACCAGAAATTATTTTTTTAAAATACAATAGCGACCAAGAGTGGTCGCTATTGCCCAGAAAATTATTTTTTTTTAAGTGAAAAGCGACCAACTGGAGACCAAAGTTGGTCGCTTTTTTTGGTATATTTTTGGCAGAAACTGCCTGTTTTGGCTGCTACACCACCTGCCAGCTTATACCAAATATCCTAAACAGGCATTTTATGCCAACAACAACACTAAAAAGCAACAAAATATAAAGACCAATAGAACTAAAACATTAAGCTAACAAAACTAAGTTAACGTTTATTACAAGCTCATTCGAAAACTAGTTCTATTGTCTAGTTCAAAGTATATAAAGTACTCAAGGAGTGTTCTTTTAGCATCCTCGTTCGAAAGTTGGATTGCCTCGGCCGACTCGTTAGGTGGTTGACTGCGTATGAATTCCCCCACATCAGCTGTGAAGCGAACCTATAAGAAAAATTATACTGAATTAATATTTCAAAATTTATATAAAAGTAAATCAAAATACTTAATGAAAAGTAAAAAACTTACATGTATAGTCGAGGCTCGACCCTCGACCCACCTTTCTAAATCAGTCTCTTTCTTCTTCTTTACAATACGAGTTTCATTGAATAGCTCATCTTGCTTCATTGGCATCATAAAGCTGTCCGGTGCTTTGGTGATTATCCTCGTGGTACTATTACTCGGGATGAACTTGGATACAGAGAATAACTTGGATACAATAGCTGACAGGGTGTGTCTTTTGATCAATTGTTGTTCTCGTTAGCGACAATGATGTTGAGACTGCAATGGCATGTGTTTCAACTAGTGATGGTATAGGCAGGAATTTCAATATTTCCTAAGTAGATAAAAGAAAGATTATAGAGGAATTCTCTACTTCATTTTTCAAGAAGAAAAGAAGTTTAATTGAGAGTGACAAGGGTGATGGTGATGGAATATTTTCCATTGGTCATGGAGTTCCCATAAAACTAGGAAGTTTTGTTCTCAACTTTCTTCCAAGTCTGATCCGTACAAGCCTTAATGGGATATTGGTGATATATTCTTCGGATTCAACAATGATTTGACTGACAAAAGTATGGAAATGCTAATCAAAAGAATTAAAGCTAAAATGTTTCTCTCTCTCTCTCTCTCTCTCTCTCTCTATATATATATATATATATATATATATAATATATATATATAAGCATATTTCGATATAATATTACCTAATACACTTTTAATACTTACTGCATAGTACAACGTAAAGTAATTATATATATTAACGGCTTACATTTATATTATTTAGATAGTAAATACAAAAGTGATTTTTAATTTTGACCATTGTTGACCTTAATGGAGACCATCTTTGGTCGCTAATTATACATGAAATTAATTTAGCGACCAAAGTTGGTCGCAAAATTTAAATCAGATTTATTTATATTTTATATAATATTTAAATTAAAAATATAATTATTTTAAAATTTATAACTGAGTCCCACTTTAGCAACCAAACTTGATCGCTATCTGCCTACCCTTTATTTAGCGACCAACGTTGGTCACCATGTTTAAATTATATATATTTAAATTTTATATTTTTGAAAAATAATAATATAATTATTAAAATTTTGAAGGTGGGACCCACTTTAACGACCAACATTGGTCGCTAATCTCGGTAAACCTTTGACCAAGCAAGTCTGACCAGTCCAGTCAACATTTTGACTAATTTAGCGACCAAATTGCGACCAACCTTGGTCGCTAATTTGTTTCATTTATTTATTTTATTATTTTTGCTATTTTGGCGACCAACTTTGGTCGCTTTTCTCTTCAGACCAACTTTGGTCGCTATTTTTTGGTCGCTTTTTTGCGGAATTCTAGTAGTGGTTCCATGTGGCCCATCACCACGATCCACAGATCTCCCCTCGAACTAAGTTCCATGTGGCCCATTATCACGATTCGCGGGTCAATTCCGGAGATTCAACATGCGCCACTCACATTGTTAGAGTATTTACGGAACTAACTTCTTCTTTGTTCGCAACCCTGCACCACTCATATGTGTTCTAAAGATTCTTAATTTATCAATCAACAGATGAAGTCATCAAGTCTTAATATGCAGATGAAAGCTATGTTGCACAGACTCTCCAAAATTGCTTTCGCCCCCGTGTTAGATTCTCCAATAATGCACTACTTTTGGAGGAACGGACACGCACCCGGAGACATTTTTGATGAGTCCAAGCAACATAGGATGAAGAAAACCACAAAAGCCTTTGCAAAAGGAGCACTGTTGCATGCTAAAAACTTGATTTTAACTGATATTTTGCTTCATGTTCTGATGTAGAAACTATAAAGTAAGCTACATAGATGATAGAAAGGCATGTGGGAGAGATATCTGGCTTGAGTTTGAGATAAATGAGGCAACTGCAGTAATTAGTAGTAATTAAGATTAGAATTACTAGCTACTTTCTTGCCACCTATAACCAAGATTGTGGAGCATCTGTTAAGAAGTCAAAGGAGAAAAGCTCCTGCTCTCTGATACTTCTGCAGCTGTGGCTACTCGTCGCTGCATTGCTTGAAAATCAATAATTGACCTACTTTTATGAGATGCTTCTTACATTGAGCAATCCAATCATTAAACATAATGACCATAAATATCCAAATAACGCGTCCCTACACGGTTATTTGGATGCTGAAGATTGACAAGAAAGACAAGTCATCGGTGTGGCACTTCTTGTTTTGCCACTACTAGTGATCTTATTTAGAACCCTTTATTCTGATAGGATATAGAGAGCATAAATGAACACATCTATACAATCTGTGCATTCTTTTGGCTATAATGAACACATCTATACAATCATTCTTCTTGATTTTATGGTCACAATTCATCAATGTCGTTAATATTGGATGAGTTGTTTCCTTTTTCAGATAACTCACTTTTATAGATAAGTTCTGACAGCACAATAGGTATGCAATATTCAAAAGCAACGGCTATTTTTATCATTACCGTTAGGATATGTAGATTCTGGCAAGTATTATTGAGAGGATTGGCCCCCTTTATAGAATGGTCACATATATAGAATAAAGGATGGAACTTTGGCTGAGGTTTTCTTATCCAGAATATTCATCTTGTCTGATTAAAAATGGTGATTAGGATTCCTCCTTATCAAATCCTATGTCAACACGCGAGCTTCAGTGCTTAGGTGGAATCAGCTACGGTTGCCATGTCAGCATTCGCGGTCCCAATAACTGGTCAAGCGACTTCAACTCATTGTCAATCTCGGATTAATCTTGATTTGCTCAAATATGAACACCATATTATGTGTTTGTATGAGAGGCCTGGATTTTTTTCTATGACTCATCAATGACCATAGATTGTGTAATATTCACTCATTTCTTGCCGCTAATAACTGGATCTTTGCTTGAAAACTCTTACCAATGCATAATAAACTGTCCCTTTAGTATGGGAGTTCAGATATTAGCATTCTCCTTTTATGGCTTTTGAACCAAGCAAAAGTTATAGTATAACCTTACAATCCTTTTCCTTTTCTGATTATTGCCAAAGATGGTTAACCTTTTCACTTATCATATAAACAATTACAGGGCTTCAAATTCATAAAGTTCAAATCTTGTGCCATGCATCACATTCAGAATCTTCAGAGAATTGATGAAAAACAATGGTAAATGTCATGTGAACGTATACCTTAATACATTGTCTCAGGTACCTGTGAAGAAAGAGGTATTTCTCTTAAAATTGATATATTCAATAGTGTCAGGAATAATGCAAATCTCATGTGTTGTTCCGAATTCATGTATCACCTTTCTGTACCGATAAAAGCTGTTAACATTCTTAGCAATATATTTGGTGAAACTATGGACTGGTCTGATAATATCTAGAGTGCTCTGATTTCCAACACATGCATGACTAAACAGGAGATGAAAAGAAGTCCACTTTAGTTCACTTTTGAATTATTAAGAAGAATATAACACAAGAATAGAATAATAGGACTTGAATTATGAGGGAATTGGTTCCTTGGTGGTAAATTGTTACAGTTTTTGCCCCTTTAGAACCTGGACCATTTTCCACTTTAACGACATTAGCCTTCGTGTTAGGCAGCTGCAGCGTGCGAATCCAAATCATCTCAAGGGTCCATCGATCTTAGCAAGAGCACGCGGTGAAGTAAACAACTCCCCTTTTTCACATGACATCTTCCCTCATAACACCTGCTAGAAATGGATACAGAACAAAAGAATAATATTTTGAGTAGAATAATGGACCATCGAACGGGTAAGGAGGGGCATTACTGGATATCTGCAAGAATTTAAATGCTTCACATGCATGAATATGACAGCTGATAACTTTAGAGAGCCATACCTCTACAGTCAAGAAGGAAGGAAAGTAGGAGGCTTATCCAATTCTTTTTTGGAAAATTTGTGCTATCTTCTGGAATCTCATTTAAGGAAACCGTTTGAAGTCACAAAACAGATCAAAAAGAAAACTTTGGGCCCCAATAGTGAGGTCTTCCAACTATATATACCTCCACAAACCATTCATCAAAATTACCACTTACAGCAAACAATTTCTTGAGCTTCAAGTTAACGTCTCGTTGAGAAGCTCAGTTCTTCACAAGGTGAGGCATCGATGATTTACTTTCCTTTCGCATTTCATTTCATTATCTCAAATTGGAACTAAATTTCCTCTTCTTCCAGCTTCTGCACAAAAAAAAAGTTTTTCAAAAAGTTAGGCCCTTCAATACAAGATTAATGTGCTGCGAAATTTCTTCCTGGAATGAAATAATTGTTCATGTGTAAGCAATGCAGTTCTAGCATATAGACACTATTTCATAGAATGAGGCCTCAAAGATGGATAAACAATAATAAGATTTCTCGGTTGTTTTTTCATGCTTCTTAAAATGGCCTATTTTGCTTCTCATATGCAAATTTGTTCTCATCATATTTTCATGTTCACTTTCAGTTAGACATAAAATGAGCAGTGGAGATTGGATGTGTGCTGCATGCCAACACATAAATTTCAAGAAAAGGGATGCATGCCAACGATGCAGCTGCCCTAAATATGCAACGCAGGCTGATGTTGCCATGTATGGACTAAACAAAACAGAAGTCTTAGCCGGAGACTGGTATTGCAGTGCCATGAACTGTGGTTCTCACAACTATGCGAGTCGAACAAACTGCTATAGATGTGGTGCCTTAAAAAGCGATTATTATGGTATTGGAATGATGGCATCAACAGGTTATGGATATGATGCAAGTGCCATTCCTGGTTGGAAGAGTGGTGATTGGATTTGCAGCAGGTTAGTTCTCATTTGCTTTCATATTTATAACAACAACTATGTCTCAATCCCGAGCAAGATAGCCTTAAATATATGTATCCTAAATGTTCATATCGCTCCATTTAAGCTCATCTCCATCCAATATTACAACAATAACAACAACACCTATGCCTCAATCGGGGGTAAGGTGGCGTCGGCCATATGAATCTGCACTAATCATATCGCTGCATTTAAACTCATTTCCGACAAATATTATACAAAATAAAATTTTGAAGTTCTCACTATATTTTCTACTGGAATATAAATCTCCGACAAGACTAGGAATCCTAGAAAACATTGTCGTATGGGGATTCATCACAAGATTGACTAGTTTTACGTTGACTGTTAACCTGCCGGAACTCTCCTTTTTTTACTACTGACATACTATCCTTGGGATTTTCACCGATATAATCGCCTTCTTGTTCGACAGATTAGGATGTGGTGTGCACAACTATGCAAGCAGAGCAGAATGTTATAAGTGCAAGACACCTAGGGATTTTGGTGAGCCATCTTCCATGTGATTCTGGTACTGCAAAGTCAACATTTTACTTTACAACACCATTTTTCATCTACTAACATTTTGTTCATTTCTCTTTTTCTCAGGAAGTAATCATAGAGAAAGTGAATTAAGGGACTCAAATAGTTATTACTGAAGATTTACCAGAACTCTCATAACCTTCAATGACTCCTCTTCTATCTTTTTTTTCCTTCTGTTTTTAGTTTCTCTTTTCTTTTTTCTTTAGATTAGTTTCTCAAAGAAGGGTTAATTCCTAACTGCATTGTAACTGTGCAAGTGTTTTAATGAATGAAATCCCTTCAGATTTTCCATTCTTTCTTGTGTTTCAACAGTGAATAATAATATGTGGCCTTAACAATATAAACCAAAGTCTGTATAGGCCTACCACCAGAGGCAGATCCAGGATTCGGCGGTGGCGAGGGGATCATGATATTCAGTATAAATTTATCATTGCTCATAAAGATTGATACAGGGGCCTATGCTAATATATGACTATTTTTTTAAAAACATTTGTAAGTATATAAGGAGTTTTTGCCGAAGTTTTCGGGTGTCGGTGACCCATCAACTCGTCATGTGCGTCCGCCTCTGCCTACAATAACAACAAACCTAGTGTAATACTACAAGTGGGATCTAGGGAGCGTTATGCGTACGCAGCCTTACCCCTACCTTGTGAAGGTAGAAAGGTTATTTCCGATAGACTCTCGACTCAAGGGAAGCATAGTCACATCCTAAGTTGCTCTGACACAACAGTTTAGATGTCGCACCCGTGTCAACACGACACTAGTATGAGTGTGGGTATGGACCCGTACTGGATCTGGTCAAACAATTTTGGGTACTCACATCACTTGTTGAAAAGAAAACAATAGTGTACAAACCATGGAAAGGAAACAGTAACGCAACATATTACCAACAACAGCACGATAACAAGAAAACTAAAGCAAAAGAAATAACTAGTAATAATACATGTCTATGTATAAGAAAATATGAGAATACTATTAATCATACAGGTAAGAGAAGAATACGCTCGCGACAACCTACTAACTTTCCACCTTAATTCTCGATCTCCACACCTTCCTAAGGCCTATATATCACTTAGGGCCACCATTCAAGTGTATGTACTTAATTCACAGCAACAAAAAGAAAAGGTAAATAACAGAAGGATCAGAATTTAGATTCATAGAATATTTATGAGTAGTTCCATTCTAAGGGAACCAAATTAGTTCCTTTAAGAATCATGTCTCAATTATTACACAGATAAGAACCTGATGCTTTACTTTTCTAATTGAGACTACACTTCCACCTTTTGTCTTTTCTTTCTTTTTCTCCAACTCATTTCCATTTACATGCTAATTAATCTGCAACAGTTTCAAGATAGCTATTCCATCATATAATTTCAATGTAACTAAGGGTGTGTTCGGTACAACGAAGTCATTTTCTGGTGTTTGGTTGACGGATAAAAAAAAAAACATATATTTAGATGGGAAAGGACTGACTTCATTTATGCACAGATGTCGTTAATTTTCGTTACAACTATCTAAACTTTAAACTTCATATTACTTATTTTAACTAACATTAAGATATTATTGTTAATCTTTACTATTCAAAATTTCATCAAAGCACTCTCTGATTTACGAATATTATCATTTATCTTAAACATATATTTTTTCGCAAAATCATTTCCCATTCACCAACCTAACATTGGAAAACATGTTTCAAGAAAATATTTTCGATGATAAATGACTTTTGTCATATCAAACACACTCCGAGTGAAAAATCTCATTATAGAGTTCTTAAGTTTATGCAATTTAAAAGACAAGAATGAACCAAGTATGAGCTAGTACAACAACAACAACAAGAGATCCCGTCTAATCCCACAAGTGGGGTCTGCCGGTAATGTGTACGCAGACCTTACCCCTACCTGGTAAGGTAGAGAAGCTATTTCCGGATATCCATATTTTGCTAGTAGAAATAGGGACACTAAGCTAGGCTTCAAAGTTTAGTAGGTTGGTAAACAAATAGCAATGTTTGTGTACTTACTAATCTCATATTTATTACGGTGATAGCTTAAATGTGCATTGTGAAGTTTCTCATTTTGATCAACTTGTCAAGTACCATGTGTGTTGAAATGTGTATAAAAAAAGCTGGGTGCACAAAGTATTCCGCGTTCATGTAGGGTTCAAAGAAGGGCCACACCTTTGGGGCGTGTGATGTAGATGACCTACCCTAATGCAAGTATTAGTGACTGCTTTCACGGCTCGAATCGTGATCCATAGGTCATATGGACACAACTTTATCGTTATTCCAAGGCTCCCCTTCTGTGTTAAAATGTGTATATTCATGGTAGAAGCAACCCCGGCCAACCAAAGTTGGGATCATACATTTGATGTGTTCAACTAAATCCATCAATTTCGATGCAGAGCATAAATATACATGTGAAAAATCACTAAAATATTACTCCCTCCGTTCCACTTTATGTGAACCTATTTCCTTTTTGGTCCGTTCCAAAAAGAATGACCCCTTTCTAAATTTGAAAACAATTTAGCTTAAACTTCTAATTCTACCCTTAATGAGAAGCTTTTATAACCACACAAATACTCTGGACCCTTTTTTGACTTGTTTGGGACCACAAATTTCAATTTATAACCACACAAATACTCTGGACCCCTTTTTGACTTGTTTGTGTAACACTCCTCAAATTTATAAAGTTTCGAGACACGCTAATTATAGAATTAGATTATTATTATTATTATTATTATTATTATTATTATCTTGCCTATAGTGAAAATATATATATACACTTAAATAATTGGATATACAATTAAAGGAATATTAATAATTTTTAATGTTAGTAATTACTAAAAGTATGTGTAATAAAATACTACTTAAGTCAAAAAAAAAAAGAAAAGGGGAAGCACATGCCAAGTAAGCCCATAAAGGGTTGTTGGACCAAACATAATAGCCTCACAGAGGCGTGAATACTTTACAAAAGCAAACGGAATTAACATTCTGTAGCACCAACTATTCACGCAGGGCAACAAAAATTCTAGGGTTCTTCATAACTCACTTATTTTTTTTTACTCAGGTATATAAAATTTCCTATTCTCAATTACCCTACAGTAGTAATAGGTAAGAGATGAATAGTTAATTTCCTTCTTTCTCCATATCAACAATATATTTCATGTTTAGGTGTGAAACTTTAAAATTGATTAAAATGCACTGGTTATTGTAGAATCGATTGTTTGACTGGTGTCAATTGGACTGGGGCCTACGTATTGGCTCGAGAAGTTTTGAGGTGAGTTGATATAACCCTTTACTAAAGTGGTTTAACTCACAAAAGCAAGCACACAAGGTGTTTGATGAATTGCATAAAAGAGTTAATATATACTTAGTTGGAGTAGTAAGTACCTATTAGTTTAGAATTATTTTCTAGCTAAAGTTTAGATGATTATTTGGATATATGTGCATAAATTTTAGATTTTTATGTTATTCTTATATGTCATTTTCATGTTGAAAATTCATGAAGGATCAAGAACCTTTATAAATACTTTTGAATGTTTATTTCATTCTTATATCATGCCTTACATTTAAGGATACCAGTATGAGTATGTATAAAATATTTAGACTTGAAAAGTCACAAGAAGAAGTTTTAGAAAGAAAAGATTTTTGGGAGTATCCTTTATTCTGAGAAGGGGTCATCGTCCAGGCCTAGGGTCCTGGCCAGGGTGTTGACTTCCTGAAACTACTTGTGCCAAAGTAGGGAGCACACGAGCCGAGGGTCTCGTTGCTGAGAATTTACTTAGCCGTGCTAAGGTATGAGACATGAGCGCTGAGAACCATGAAGCGAGTGGCACCTCGTAGATTGTCGAACCCGCGCCGATCACACGGTGACTGAGACAGAATTAAGTTAGGATAGTTGGAACTCCCAAAGTATAAAGTGAAGTATTTTTTTTTTTATAAGAAAGAAAAAGAAAAGAATTTCTTTTAGAATATTCATAAACTGCTATTATGCGATTATTTAGAATTATTCTTATAAGCTTTATGTTTTACATGCATTTAGAACCTTTGCTCATAATGTATATGTTATTAAAGTTTCGCCCCCTGTTGTTGAGACTCTCTGAGTACAATGGATGGTACTGACGTTCTCTTTTGGGAACCTACGTTGGTCTACGGTGTAGGAACCGGATTTGCAGGCGAGCAGGCTACGAGTTAGGACTTCCTTCTCTTCCAGTGCTATTGGTGAGCTCCGCTTTTGTTCGTGGAGTATTCCTTAGAGTCATCTTTATTTAGTTATTTCTTTGTTACTTAGAGAACTGGCCAAGAAATCTCATGTCCTGAGCAGTGCGTCAGTTTATTAGTTGAGGCTTCATAGACATAGTCGTTGGGTTAAGATTCAGATATTTTTGATAATAACTTAACAGTATTTCATTGGTTATTATGAAGGCAGAATAGCCTCGTAGACACTTGTAGTTGTTCGTGTTTGTCATCCCGGTCCCTATATTCAATGAAGTTTCATCCAGACACTTATAGTTATTTAAAGTTAGTATTTTAAACCCCTCTGACCGTTGACTGGGTCTATGTGGCAGCTTGACAGCTGAACTGGACAAATTACGTTTATTTCACGCGTATATAGAGCGTGAGTATAATTATTTAAACCAGAAAATAATTTAAATGATAAAAAAAAGAAGAAAAAAAAAAGACAAAAAGTTAAATGCAGAAAGAAAAGAAAAGTCAATGAGTGATTTCTCTCTTTCACTCACGTTAACTTGCTTGACCCCCCCTCCCCCTCTCAATCCCATTATCTCCCCCTTCGTCACGATAGTACTCATCCTCCACCATTTTTAACAAAACCCATTGCAACAGCCCCCCACTACCGTTGGCTTTTTCAGCCTTGTAGAGAAGATCCAAAAAAGCAATTTTCACGGCAACCACTAGAGATAGCCAAATTGGACTATTTCTATTGGTGAGCGTTTATTAGGTGATGATGACCCAACTGAAGTGGGTGCCATTATATTTCAGATCTTGGTAACCTTTGAATTGGAATACCCGTGGCCATTAAAGTTAATGGATGTTAAGATTGTATCCATAATTTATTCTTTTTGGTGTCTTGCTCTATGAAGACAATGAATATAGTGGATTTTCCGGCAGGTGATGTTGCTTGTTGTTCTATGTCCCTGGTCCGCTCGTTGTTTTGGTTTTAGACGAGGAAATTGGCGGCCAATGGTTGACGGGGGAGGCAAAAGCAGAGGAAAAGAAGGCATAGAGGGTGGTGGTTGACTGCATAAGAGGAAGAGAATGACGTGGTTTCATTTAGCTGAGGTGGATCTGATATGTCCTCCATATCAACTCGAGTGAGTAACACGCAGTGTCAGAAGTGTTTAAAACATATGTTTTGATCGAGCTAAAGTGTTTGGTTGAAACTTCATAAAGTAAGAGGACCGGGATGTCAAACCCAAACAAGTAGAAGTGCCTATTAGGCTATTCTGCCTATTATGAATAAAGTTTTGGAGTTGATTTATTTAAATGTTTAAATTAATCAAAAGTATTTGGTTAGAGTATTGCTTTGTTGCATATAAAGTTTGGAGTTATAATAGATTTGATAAGCAGAGATGGTTCGCTCGGTCATGTTTAGTGATCGAGTGCCGGTCCCGGCTTGTTCAGAAAATGGGTCGTGACAGTTTGGGACCATAAATTCCAAAAGTCTTCATTTTTTCTTAAACTCCGTGCCCATTCAAACAGGTTCACATAAATCGGAACGGAGGGAGTAACAAATAGTAAATGTTCAACCAATAGTTCCAATAATACTATGGGTTCAGAGATAGAAATTATAAAGATAGAATTCATCACGTTTAAATCATGGATCCGCACTCTAACCAACATAGTCTACAACCAAATTTCCATGTAGGAATAATACTTTATTTTAGAAAGGTCACATTCCATATTAATTAATTATATGCCTTGTTTATGGAAGACAAGTGTAATGTGAAGTAGTTCCAATTCCATGGCATATCTCCTGGGGTCCAGACAGCCAGAACCAATTTTTTTTTAAAATTTTTTTATATAAAATTAGTGGCCCTTTTGTTTCAAATATCTCTGTCATTTGTCAATAAAAAGTCATTTCTTTCTGTTTAAAAATCAACTATTTTAGTTTCTGTTTTAGGATTCTATTCCTAAACTTTTCTCTACTTTTTTTCCAGTCAGGGAAAGAGTTCAAATTATTGAAGAATATTGTATTTGTCAAACCAATTGAAATAGACTTCTCAGAAAGATATAAGTCAAATCCATGTGTTGCTAATTACTCTCAATACCAGAAAAGGACCAAAAGGGTAAGAGCAAAAATATAGTAAGAATATTAATAAAATAATTGAAGAGAATTTATTTGATTGGTTTTATTATTGTTATCTAAAAGTGATAGAATAGAATGAGTAAACAATTCTTGACTGAAGAGACACCAAAAATTTTTGCCCTTCCATTTCTTGGATAGATAGAGATAAAAGGGGCAGGTTTTTTATTTTTTTATTTTTTCATATTATCGAAGTGTTGAATAATAATTCTATTGTGTTTTTAAAGATTAATAATTAAATCTCTTAGGAATATCAAGTATGCCTCAATTGCATACATCATGGCACTTTTAGATTCGACTAATTTGAAGGTAAAAGAATCGGCCGACGATAAAAACTTACTTGTATTAGGTGTTTACATCAAATCAATAAATGTGAGACAAATATATTACATTTACACTCTTTAATATTTAACAATGGTTAAATAATATTCCATCTGTTTTAATTTATGTGAACCTATTTTCTTTTTGGTCCGTTCCAAAAAGAATGATCCCTTTCTTAATTTGGTAACAATTTTGCTTAAACTTACAGTTCTACCCTTAATGAGAAGCTTTTATAACCACACAAATACTCTGGGCCCCTTTTTGACTTATTGAGGACCACAAATTCTAAAAGTCTTCATTTTTTGTTAAACTCTGTGCCCAGTCAAACAGGTTCACATAAATTGGAACGGAGGGAGTATATATTTTCACTTTATTTTGCTAATTTTTCAGATTGATTATTTAGTTAGGTGTAAACGCACGGTGTGAGTAAATATTTATCTTAACTGCCTTTGGAAAGTTTTCTTTTCTTTTCTTTTCTTTAAATTGTTGAAAGTAGGAAATGCCCGGAACCTTAAAGGAATTCAATATGTTATACAAATGAATTGTACGAAACGGATTAAAAAATTATATTATTTTAGTCACATGTGTTACATACTAAAACTTTGAATGAATATGAAATTTGTATTAATAGAAAAATTCAATGGGTTATTATAAAATTTAACATCTATGTTTTTTTTTATGTAATTCCTAGCAGGAAATGGGAAAGAGTGAGAATTCATGGTCAGGAAATAAAACATATAAAAGAGTTATTATTGTTAAGTTAAATTCCAAGGTTTCAATGATGACAATATTTAATTGTTCTATTTCGCAGAAATCATCAAAAAGAAAAGGAAATCAGTTGCCAAATCAATGGACCTATAGAAGGAACCAAAAGGCTGCTGATCTACTCGGCTTCAATCGAGGCAATCAGTTTCCAAATCAAGGAGTTATTGCCATATTCAACCTCCTTAATTAAAGCTCAGTCAAGGGATTGACTATCTCGTAAATGAAGGCTGTGACAAAAGGAAGTCACGATCGAATCTGTTCTTTCCTGAAGAGCAGAATTCGAAGAGGCACCCCTTGGGTCAAATCCTTTCAAAGATCTCGTGCCTCTATTTCTGGTCAAGATATCAACGGTTATTTTCATCCTCTATAAGAAGGTTGCTTGGTTCAATAGGAAGACTTGCGCAACTACATATATTGTCTTCTAAGTCTCCCTACTTCTTAGCCTAAACACTGTAATCTAAAGTTTATCAATGTCTCAAAAGATAGGAAGAAGTTAGAACATAAAAGAGAGTTGTGTCAATATTCAGATTTACTGATTACTGTACTTCGTTGGTGGTGAACGAATCAAAACCATCCCTGTTTTAATTCTTTAAAGATCTAAAAGGAACCCTTGTGACCCAAGGGAAACTGGATGTAAGTACCACACCGGTACCGAACCAGTATAAAGTTGCTGTGTGTCTTTCTCTATTTATTTACTGTCACTTACTTCTGCTCTCGATCTAGTCAACTAAAATAACCGTTAGTCGACTAAGATTTTAACAGGTAATTCACCCCCCCTCTTGTACTTTCAATTGGTATCAGAGCAAGGCTCACAAACTTTGCTTAACAGCTAGTGAGAAAAAGATCAGGGGATCAAACACAGTCGTGGGTGCACTATTTCAAGAGGGAACTTCTCAAGTTCGACCACCGTACTTCAATGGACAATATTTTTCTCATTGGAAGGTGCGTATGGAAACATACACTATGTCTTATAACATCAAAGTCTGGCAAGTGATCAAAAAGGGAAATCTTCCAATTCCCCCTAGGAAAGACGCAAATGGTCAAGATATAGTATCCACTGATCCACTTGATTTGGATGATTACACTGATGAGCAAGTTGTTGTTATAACTATAAATGGCAAAGCAAAAAATCTGTTCCGTGGTGAAGAATATGAAAAAATCTCAAGCTGTGAAACTGCTAAGGAAATGTGGGATAAGTTGGAAGTCACATATGAAGGGGCAAACAAAGTAAAAGAAACAAGGATAAATCTATTGGTTCGAGAGTATGAGCTATTTCAAATTAAGGATGGAGAATCTGCTGAAGAAATGTTCTCCAGGTTTAGCAAAATTCTTGGAGATTTGAAATCCTTTGGTAGAACAATAAAAAGTGGAGAACAAGTCAGAAAAATTCTCAGAAGTCTACCTACGATTTGGCAGCCAAAAGTCATCGCACTCGAATGTCAGGATCTAGATAAAATGTCCTATGATGAACTCAAAGATGATCTAATTGCTTTTGAAAAAACTCACTTGAATAGACAGATTCAACAAGAAGAGAAGAAAACAGTTGCTTTCAAAGCAACTGTGGCTGAACCAGAAGATGAAGAAGAGAATGAAGGAGGAGAACAAGATGAAAACATAGCCATGCTCTCTCAAGTTGTAACCCGTATGATGAGGAGAAACAAAAATAGCAGAAGAGGTAAACCAAATTTCAGAAAGGAAAGGACAAATAATGAAAATGATGGAAGATGCTACGAATGTGGTCAACATGGAAACCTTCAAGCTGACTGTCCAGAACTGAAAAAGAAGCTGAGCACCAATCTTCAAAGAAAGAAATCTTTTGGAGCCTGGAGTGATGAAGAAGAATATGATCATGAAGAAATTGCAAATATGTGCTTCATGGCCCTAGAAGATGACATCAATGAAGAATCAGGAGAGCGTGGATTCTCAGAAATAGAAGAATAAATGAAGAAGAAGATTCAGATCAACTTGGTCTCATGTCAGATGAAGGTACTAGTGAGGTACGTCCCCTAAATTTCCCTAACTGTTATGAACTCCAAGAATTCGTTGATATTGCTCTTGCAAATATTGGAAGAGTTCTAAATGAACTCAGAAATATTCAAAGAGAAAAGAAAGAATGGGATCTGAAGCTAGAAGTTTGTGAAATTGAACGTGATTTGCTACAGGAAGAAGTAAATGAACTCCAACTGCAATTAAATGGATTGCAGAAATCTACTAGTCATAGTTCAGTCAAATCAAATCAGACTGTTCGTCACAAACAGAAGAAATCTCATGGGTGCTCCTTATGTGGAAAGAATGGACATAATACTAATCAATGCAGGAACAGAATCATAACTGAAAAGGATTCTGAAGATAGTCCATCTTGTTTTTATTGTGGTAAAAAGGGCCACACTTCAAATCGCTGCAGGTTTAAGAACAACAGAAGATGGGTCTGATGACCAAAATCTTCAAACCAAAATAACTCTCAGCAGTCTAATCCTTCAGGACCCAAGCAAGCTTGGGTACCTAAAAATAAGTAATCTTTGTTTTGCAGGAACACCACAAGAAGAATCGAAAAGGAAAATGGTATCTCGACAACGCGTGTTCCAGACATATGACTGGTGACAAACAACTATTCAAAACAGTCACGAAACTAGATGGAGGAACAGTTACATTTGGAGACAAATCCAAAGGAAATGTAATTGGTGTTAGAAAAGTTCCTCTAAGTCCAACATGTGATGTAGATGAAGTTTACCTGGTTGATGAACTTGGCTACAATCTTCTCAGCATTAGTCAACTATGTGACAATGATTATGAGGTTCGTTTTAAGAAACATGGTTGGTTCATAGATGATGAATCAGGTAAAGTCATTCTTTCAGGTAATAGAGACAGAAATGTTTATACTTGATAGTAGCCTATATTATGCGATGTAGATGCTATTTATGCTCTAAATTAACCATACTTTATTGATGTTTTAAGTGCTAAATAATAACAAAATGCTCTAATTGAGGTTTTTATGCTTTGCAGGAGCTACTCCGAGTTAGGAGGAGGATATAGAGTGTTTTGGGGTCAAATATGTAAATACAAGACCAATCGAGAAGAGCCCGGATGAAAACGAGCAAGAAAAGGCGAAGAAAAAATGGGCAACAGTCCACCGCGACCGCGGTAGGGCTGCGGCTGGAACATGGTGAAAAAAAAGCGCAAAACAGAATGGTCTAAAACGACCGCGGTTGGCCCGCGACCGCGGTCAATCTAGAGAATGCCAAGAAAGTCTAGGGGTCAAAGTGTAAAGTGTGGGAAACTTATCCTAACCCTTTATAAACTCAACAAACTCGCCCAAGTTAAGGAGAAGCTTGTTTTTAGACCTAAGGAGGCTAAGGAGACCGGAGATTTGAACCGGGTGTAGTTAGTTTTTTTTAGGAGCAGGAGCCAGTGTGAGATGAATTGAATTGAAGCAATATCTCTTGACTTTGTTATGCCTTGAGAATAGTGAGTACATTGGTTGTGACGCTTAGGCTCATTTTTTGGCTCTTGTATAAGTACCTTAAATCGTATGATCTTAACTTTGCTTAACTGTTTTGACTAGAGTGTCTTGATGAATCTAATCCTGAGTGAGTTAAGTGCCATGTGTGTGTGAGGTTTGTGTGTTATTCTGTGCATTGCATTTGATGTCTAGAACTTGCCCCATGTGTTTGCAAAGCGAAATAGTAGTTTTGTTCAGTCCTGGAAGTGATAGAGGCGTGTCTTTGTTGAGCCATATATATATTTTACCCGTCTAATTGTTATGTAACGTAGTTAACCCCTTTGAGCCCGTAATCCTGTTTCTTTGGCAACTACATTATAAGCCTTACCCAATTGTTTGAATTAACCATCTATTTGACCCTTTTAACCTCTCATGAGCACTTGAATAGTTATGAACTTTGTAAAAGTTAAAGTGTGGGGTGGTTGGTTTGGCTTTTGAGTGGAACTAATGAAATAAGGAGAAAGGTGCACTGTTTTGAAAAAGTAAGAGCCACTTGATTTGAAAGGAAAGAAAAAGAAAAATTAGTTGTATTGTTGCGGGAAAAAATGTTCCTTGATAAGTGGTGGCTTTTGATGTAAGTGTGCTTAAAGAAGAATGGGGTAATATACATTGATGTGAAGGTGGAGTTTTGGTTTGACATAAGTATGGGGGTTGAATGTTAAAGTATATGTATTAAAGTGCTTAGGGAGGTGTATTCACTCTTATATCTAAATTTATCATATCCGTCCCGCAACCTACATTACAACCAAATAAAGTCCTACTTGATCCTAGACTGAATGAGCTCGATTAGTAGAGTAGTACACTACGGGCAAGCCTATGGTGCATCTTTTGTGGCATATGAATGTTATTTCTGAGAGTGAGTGAATTCTTTCTATCTTGAGTTCCTAAGTGTTCTTAAATTTGGGACTACTCTCTTTTGTTGTGTGAGGCACTTGATTCATGAAGGAAAGGTAATATCAGTGACCTCTATGGTAGAGTAAGTGGGTGAGTTGTGAATAATGTGTGGTACTTGTGAGTTAAATCTTGAGGTGAAGATGTTACGCTTTCGTGCTTAGTCTATTTAAATACTCTTGGTGTGATGAGTTAGGAGAATGGTTTAAAAAGGTCGTGTCTATATAAAGTGTAGTTTGATTACTTGAGGATGACCAATGGTTTAAGTGTGGGGTGTTGATGATAGGCTATAATTGCGTATTTTAGTCGCTTATTACACTCTAATTTACTGCACTTTAATTGAGTTTGAGTTTTAATCGCTAGTGTTTTGCACTAACTGTGTATTTTATGCCTTGTAGGAGTGATTCCGAGCTATATAGATGTTATGGAATAAATTCAAGTGATTTGGAGCTTTGAAGTCTAAGTAAAAGCCCAAGGAATTAAGTCGGGTTTGTGTTCAAGGGTCAAAATTGATAGTTAAGAACAAACGAAGACTCGAGTAGGCATATTGCGCACTTTCTAGTAAAATAGACATAACTCTATGCTCCGAACTCCATTTGGGCTATATAATATATGGTTGGAAAGCTAACTCAATGGAATACAACTTTCATGTTTTACGTTTTTTCAAATTCCAAACGAAACAGGGTGAAAAACGCGGTCGAAACCGCGACCGCGGACCTGGACGCGGACTGAGGCGGTGCACTGGGAAAATACCGCGCCCGGACCGCGACCGCGAGCGGCCAGACCTGAAAAATTGTCCTTTTTCGCGTAGGAGAAGGTATAATTATTTGGGCCCGACCCTACTTGGTATATACATGGAAAAATGGTATTTTGAAGAGGTTGGACATACTTTTGACACAGATTCGACCTAAGAAGGCAGAGACACAATAGGAGCAAGGCGGGGAATTCTTCTACGAGTTTTTCCTTCCTCTTCCTATTTTTTCATTGTTGGTTATGACTTTTAGTATAAAAGTTTTACATACTATTATGAATAGCTAATTTGTTATCTAGGGTTTTGGTGGAACCTTTTGGAGGATAAATTCTTGTTATATTTTTATATAATTGAGTCGTTGGATTTCTCTACTTGTTCAACTATGTGTTGATTGTTGTTGATTGAATGGCCATCGATTGACTGTGCCTATTTATTATGTGTTGCTTGAGAAAGGATACATATTTAGGTGGTTGGTGAACAACGTCACTCCTAACGTATGCGAGAAATCAATACAGCGGGTTTAAAGGTAGGTTTAGAAATAACAAAGCCTTGACGTGGTCATAATGAGCAGTTAGATAAAGCCAGTTCGAAAGAATATGTCTAGTAAATTGTTGTAGTTGCTGGAAAGAGAATTACGGCACCTAAAGTGCTCACGATCAGTAGAGAATACATAGGCGAAATTGTTGGGAACATAGCGGGAAGGATTCCAACATTTGGGGAAATCATAACTCTAGACCTCCTTAATTTTGTCTCAAATTTTATCATTGTTAGTTGTTAGTTAATTAGTAAGAAATGAATATTCTCTATAATTAGAAAATTGTTTGGACTTGTGGTTCTTAGCGATATTGAACAACTGCAGCTAAGCATTAGTTCTCTGTGGGATTTGACTTCGGACTTATAGACCGGATTATATTTGCAGCGACCACTTATCCTTTTTAGGACTAGAGTTGGGTGTGATCATATATCGATTAGAGTCTTATCTTCTACTTGTAGTATTTTCTTTAACCCTATATAATTGAAAACTAAGTATAAGCTATCATGTCATAGTGACTATTATGTAGAAAAATCATACCCACATAGACCAAGAAACAAGCAAACAAAACAGGCTCTGGCTTCTCTCTAAAATAGAGACGTTGTTTTATTATCGTTAAGTCTAAACCCACTGTTCTGACAACCTCGAATGCATCAAGCGGTGGAAACACCGGTCCTCCCCGACCCGCCACCACCACTGAACCCAATGCCAAAAACTAAAATCAATTCTCCTACCCCCCCAATTCATAAATGCTCTTCAACAACAAAACCAACCTACCAAAAAGGGAGATATTAACTCCAGCTCTGCAACAACCCCAATTTCACATCTGAAATTCCCCCCTTTATTTGTGCAACCTCTAAATGGGGGCACACAAAAAGGCACAACTCAGGGAGAAACACCGCAAACCTCATACAAAGGGGCGCTAGGAAATAGACCCCTAATCTCGAAGAGGAACAACATGAAGCTTTTACACTGACCATATGAAGTTATCAATGGAAAACCCACTGTCATTTTCACTCATGAAGAAAATGAGATCTTAGCTCAGACGTGTAAATGGACGATTGTTGGTAAGATTCTTAGAATTCGACCTTCCATCGATATCATCCGAAGTGAATTCGCAAAAATCTTTCCAGGAAAAGGAACTATTAAAATCGGTGCTTACGACCTAAAAATGTATTTATTGACTTCGACAACCTGGAAGATCATATGAATGTCAGCTCCAAAAAATTTATAATGATCGGTCCAGATACAGTGATGACTCTTGAAAAATGGACTACTAAATTCAAACCAGATGGAGAGTCCTCACATGCTCCTGTTTGGATTACACTACCAGATCTCCCCTGGCACTTCTATGAATGGGATGTCATTTGCCGAATTGTCGAGCCTATTGGTATCCCGAAAAGTCTCAACCGGATGTTGATTATGTGAAAAAGGTCTCGAATGTGAATTTCGATGTCCGGATAGCTTCGTTAGGTTTTTTGGACTTAGGAGCGTGATCAAAAAGTATCTGGAGGTCCGTGGGTAGATTTAGGCTTAGAATTTGGCGAAGATTGGAATTTTGGCGTTTTCGGTTTAGTCTGGAAAATTTTGGATATTCGGTGTCGGAATGGATGATTTCGGAAATTAGAGTAGCGTCCGTTGTGTCCCATTTCTGCGTGTTGTCGCAAAATTTTAGGTCATTCGCGATGAGTTTGATAGGGGATTTTGATCGTTTGCAGAATTTTGGAGTTTTTGGAATCCTTTAGAGCTTGAATCCGAGGTATTTAGTTTTCGGCGTTGTTTTGAGGAGTTCCGAGGGTTGTACAAGTTTGAATACTGGTATGTGTGAAACTTGTTGGCAATGTTTTGGTTGAGGTCCCGAGGGGCTTCCGGGGGAATATTGGGGGATTTTTATGAGTTGACGGAGAGTTTGGGTTTTTGGAGTTGTGCTGCAAAATTTTTTCTGCTTCTTGTTATTTCCGCACCTGCGGATTGGGGACCGTAGGTGCGATTTTGCAAGATGCGCAGAGGAGGTTGCAGAAGCGGTCTAGGTCAGGGTGGAGCTTTGACCGAAGGTGCGGAGCTTCTTAGCGCGCCTGCAGGGAGCCGCAGGTGCGAAGTATTCTAATCGGCGATGCGGAGATTGGCCCTTAAGTGAAAACCGCAAGTGCGGTTATTTGACCGCAGAGAAGCGGTCCTCTGGTGCAATAATTTGGTCCGCAGGTGGCGGAA